AATAATAATAACAATAACAACAACTAGCCCAGCCATATAGTCAGTGAATTAAAGCACCTGCTTAGGTGGGTGCAGTGACTGGGGTTCGATCCCTGGGCATGTGTGCCAGCCCCACCCCCAGGGCAAGCTGAGAGGTGACTGAGACCGGGCTTGGTGGCGCATGCCTGTAATCCCAGCACTTGGGAGGCTGAAAATTGGAGGATCACTACAATTCCGATCTGTGTAGTGAGACCCTCTAGACCCTTTACTAAAATAATAACAACCCACAGTACTGAATAGACAGGTTAAACAGTTGATCAGAGAACACAAAGTGTGTTACTAAACTGAAGATAAATCTGTGACTGTTGTCACTTTCGTGTGGACCATTGTTCTTAACCATCACCATTTTTGTTGCCATTCCTGCCTTCTGAGTCTTCAAGTAACTCTTGAGCTAATGGGAACTTTGTGAACCCAGCCTGAAAGTGTGCATGACTTGGGTGAAGAATGTGTGGATAAAATCACTGACAGCTATGTTGCCACTGTATCCTGAGCAGGCTATGTGGACAAGAAAGCGTCCTCTAGGGCCAGCCAGATAGCTCAGTGGATTAAAGTGCCTGCTTAGGCAGAGGCAGGAGCCAGGGGTTGGATCCCTGGCCTGCCATGACGGCCACAACCCCAGAGTGTGCTGAGACTGGACATGGTAGTACAGGCCTGTAAACCCAGTGCTTGGGAGGTTGAAAAACAGGAAGGATCACTACAAGTCCAATCTGTGTAGTGAGACCCTGTAGACCCTGTACTAAATACAAAGAAAGAAAGAAAGAAAGAAAGAAAGAAAGAAAGAAAGAAAGAAAGAAAGAAAGAAAGAAAGGCATCCTCAAGGAGAGCTAGTGCTAGACAGGAGAGATGGGGGCCAATGGTTCTATAGGAAATAGAGCTAAAATAAGTTCAGGCTGGAATTCAGGGTTTGGAGGATCATGATAATGTTCCTCAAGAAGGCATGACTGTATTTGAATAAAAGTAAACTTTGGTATGAATAAATGAATAAATGTAGATCATTTAACACAAAAAAAGACATCTCCTAAAAATGAGCCTTAGTGCAACTTTTGAAGGAAAAATTAATGTAAGACCCTGTCTTATTTTAGGGGAAATACAGTAATAGGGAATTACAAATCAAAGCCACAATGAGACACTACTTCACAACCACTAACATGAGTCTCACAATTCTTTTTAAATGATAATTAAGTATTGGCAGAAATTAGAACGTTCATGTATTGTCAGTAGGAATGTCAAGTAGTGCCACTGCTCTGGAAGAGACTGGCAGTTCCTCAAAAGGTTAAGTATAGATTTGTCATACAAATCTTTTCTTTTTTGGGGGGAAGGTATCCCAAACTCAGGATCTTGAGCTTGCCAGGCAGGTGCTTAATCCACTGAGCTATCTTCCTAGCCCCTGCCATATAATCCTACAAACCCACTCTCAGCTATACATCCAAGGGAAATGAAAATATGCCCACCAGGCATGGTGGTACACTCCTGTAATCCCAGCACTCAGCAAGCTGAGGCAGGAAGATCATTGCGAGTTTGAGGCCAGCCTGGGCTATGTAATGAGTTCAAGGCCAGCCTGAGCTGCATAGTGAGACTTTGTCTAAAAAAAAAAAAGATAAAAGAAAATATGCCCATACCAAACTGAACACATACTTCTAGAGACTCTTAGTTACTTCAGAAGGCTCAGTCAGAAGTTAAACCACAAGTTTAAGGCCAGCTTGGGTAACTGTGAGAGCAGTCTCAAAATACAATTTTAAGAAAAAAAAAAAAAAAAGATGTGATATACTCAGTGGAAGAACATCCTGAGTTTAGTTCCCAGTATCAATATATAAAAAAAAAGTAAAGAAATAGTTCATAAAAGCATTACTAGGGCTGGAGAGATGGCTCAGTGGTCTAAAGCACCTACTTGAAACAAGCTTGGCAAAGCACAGGGACCGCGGTTCGATCCCCCAGCACCACATGCCAGCCAGCCCCGCCCCCTGGTGGGCTGAGCTGGCCACACACACACACAATAAATAAATGTAATAAATAAAAATAAATAAACATTTAAAAGAAAAAAGCATTACTAATACAGTATTAACCCCACAGTAGAAACAAGCCAAAAGTCCATTAGCTGATAAAAAGATACAGAAAATATAGCATATCATCATGTGTGGGTTGAATGTATCCCTCAAGAAGATATGCTGAAGGGCCAGTGTGATAGCTCAGTGGACTAAGTGCCTGCTTAGGCAAGCACAGGGACTGGGGTTCAATCCCTGGCACCACATGCCCCACCAGCCCCACTCCTGGGTGTGCTGAGCCAGCCACCAAGACTGGGCATGGTGGTGCACGCCTGTAATCCCCAGCACTGGGGAGGCTGAAAACAGGATTACTGCGAGTCTGAGCTGCCTAGTGAGACCCTGCACAAAATACAAAAAAGAAGGTATGCTGAAATTCTAACCCCAGTGCCTGTTGCCTATGCATATGACCTCACTGGTTCTCATTGGAAACAGGGTCTTTACAGGCACAGTGAAGATGAGCTCACACTGAAGAGGGCTGGGGCACAGATCCAGGATGGCTGGCGTCCTATGGGAAGAGAAGAGACTCAGAACAGTATGTGAAGACGCACAGAGGAGAGGTCCTGTGAGGATGACACAAGATGGGTTTGTGCAAGTTCAAACCAAGGAATGTCAAGGACTGCCAACCAGCCCAGAACTAGGGAGAGCCAGGAAGACTCCCCCAGAGCCTAGCGATAGCTGGTCTTGCAGACACCTCCACTGCAAGCTCCAGCCCCCAAAACTGTGAGAAAACAGGTTTGCATTGTTTTAAGCCATCTGGTTTGTGTCGCTTTGTTACCAAAGCTCTAGAAAACAAATTCACCATGGAATAGAATTTTATTCAGCAATAAGATGGAATGAAAATGCAGATGCTGCAGCAGGCACAAACTTGCAAACATTGTGAAGTCAAAGAAGTCAGTCCTAATGCAACACATATTGTGTGATTCCACTGATTTGAACAACTAGATCTATGAGGACAGGGGGCTACACCTGGGCTGCCCAGGCTGGGTGTTAGGGGAGAAGGGAATGGGGCGTGAACGCTTTGAGAGGTAATAGAAATACTCTGAAATTAGACTGTGGAGATGGTGGTACAACTCTTAAGAATACACTAAAAATTATTGCATTGTACATTATGAATAATGAATTATATGATGCATGAATTACATCTGAGTAAGGCCATAAAAAAATATTCTGACAAACTGATCAAAAACAATTTGAGCTGGGCATGGTTGCCCACATCTGTGATCCCAGCACTGGGGAGGTGAGGCTGGAGGATCAGCATGAATTAAAGACAACCCAGGCTATACAGTGAGTTCAAGGCCAGCCTGAACTACAGAAAAAGATCCTGTCCCAAAATAAAATATTCGGGAAAACCAAGAATAGCCAAAAATACTGTTTTTAAAATATGGCAGCATGTAAGTTGAAAAAGCATATGATTTCCAACAAAACAACAACACAGGAGTATTTGTCCTTCTAAGTTAGAAGTTTAAAATACAGTCTAAATGGGATGTTTGGTACTGGCATTCAGCAAAATAGGCCACAGAACACAAGAAAACACAGAAACATATCCATGTGTGTGAGAAATTCGTACATAATAAATGTAGCATTTCAGGCTGGGGAGACAGCTCAGTAGCATAAGCACCTGACTGACAAGTACAAGGTCCTAAATTCAATCCCTGGTATCAATAAATAAATAAAAGGACAGGGGATTTGGCTCAGCAGTAGCATGCTTGCTTAGCAAGCTGGAAGCCCTAGGTTTGGTCCCTGGCACCAAAAATAAAAAATTAAAAACCTCCCCTAAAAAACAATTCAACCAAAAAAATACAGTTAAAAAAAAAAAAAACCCAAAACCCAATAAATAAATAAGTAGCATTTCATATTAATAGTTCTGGAGCCAGGTGTGGCACTACACACTTGTAATCCCAGCACACAAAAGGCTGAGGCAGGAGGTCATGAGTTGGAGGCCAGCCTGGGCTCCACAGTGAGTTCAAGGCCAACATGGACTATATAGTGAAATCTTATCTCAATAAAAAAAAAAAAGAATCATACTAGTTGTTCAAAAATGGACTAAATACCCAAGGAGACACTGTTCAGAAAACAATAATTATACATACACACCAATTCTACAGGAATTAAAGAAAAATAAATATATAAGAATTTATAATCGTTCGGTTCATGAGCATGATGATCGGGTGTTCATGCCTTATGCATGAGATGTGCCTCCCTCAAACCATGTTACAACATGGGCACATTACCTGTCTGATGTGAAAAAAAAAAAAAAGAGAGAGAGAGAATTTACAGAATAGGGCGTGGTGGCACAGGACTGTAACCCCAGCTCTAGGGAAGCTGAAGCAGGAGGATCACCATGAGTTCAAGGCCAGCCTGGGCTACATGGCAAGACCCTGTCAAAAAAAACAAAAAACAAAAAGAAAAAAAGAATTCATAGAGGAAGCTATAGTTGAGAAAACTGTTGTGCCTTAGAGTAGAGTAAACCATTTCAACCTCAGCCCGGCTGGCCTTTGAGATGGAGCTCTTCTGTGTCCCGCAGCACTGCGCTGTGGAGAGGAGCGAAGCAGCATGCTTGGCTGCCATCCACCAGGTGCCAAAGGCAGCACCACCTCAGCAGGACAACCAAAACAGTGTCTTCCAGATAAGGCCAAAGGGTCCCGGGGAACAAAACCGCTCCCCTTGGGAACCACTGGGTGGGGAATGACAGCTGTAAGATACAAACAGAAAAGACTGATGAATGTAAACATAAAATGTAGGGCTGACCAAATAGCTCAGCAGATTAAAGCGCCTGCAAGGAGGCACAAGGGCCAGGGGTTGGATCCTGGCCCCCCATGTGGGCCCCGCTCCCAGGGTGTGCTGAGAGGGCAATTGAGACTGGGAGTGGTGGCACTCGCCTATAATCCCAGTTCTTGGGAGGCTGTAAATAGGCAGATCACTACTAGTCTGACCTGAACACCCTGTAGACCCTTTCCTAAAATATAAAAAATAAAAAGTATAAAGTGTACAATGTCTCAACAAGGATGCCGTGTGCTTAAAGACAAACAGTAACATTACACAGAGCTCAGTGGCAGAAAGATGATGCTGGCCTTTAGGCCCAGCTACTCAATAAACTGCCGCATATGAAGACAATCTAGGATTTAACAAGATGCCGTCTCAGAGTGAAAACTGGGGTTATGGGCTGGGGAGATGGCTCAGTGGAATAAGCGCTTCCCTGGCAAGTGGAATGGACCTGAGTTCAATCCCCGGTTCCGCAAAAAAAAAAAAAAAGAAAAAGAAAAAGAAAACTGGGGTTGTGGTGGCCCATGCCTGTGGGCAGAACTGCTGGGAGGTCAAGGCCAGCCTGACTGCATAGGGAGGCCCTGCCTCAAACAAAGACCCTTGCAAAAAGAAAAAGAAAAAAAAAAGGGTAGCGATGTAGCTCAGTGTGAGGACCGCAGATCCAATCTCCAGTACCACAAAAATACTAGACAGTGGCTGGGGGGAGCAGAGATGTAGCTCAGAGAGACAGCACCTGTCTAGCCTGTGCATAGCCTGGGGTTCAACCCCCAGTATCACACAAAAAAGGAAAGCACACATGAACAACTGTTTAATCTCACTAGCAATTAGGGGAATACAACATAAAATGATGAAAAATCATTCTCCATCTGTAAGATTGGCAAAAATAAAAGACATTGACCAAATGTTTAAGAGAGCCTTGGGTAAAATAAGTATTATTATACATGGCTGGTAGGCGATTCAGCAACATTAAATGTCCACAGCCTCCAGGCAACAACTCCACCCACAGGCATCTATTCTTGAGGACTACTCATGGCGGCACCAGGAGTAGGGAAGAAGTTCTCCACACAGGGTAAGTGGAAGACTGCTCACAACTGGAAACAATGACCAAATCCCCCATATTAGGAAATGTTAACATACCACCTCTCTCACAGAGCAAGCATTGGTCTCTACATATTGACGAAGAAGATAGTTCAAGACCCATTTGAAAGCATAAAATATCAAGTTGCCAGACATGTATAATATGCCATATTTGTAAAACTATGCACTGTAAAAGATCAATATGAAATTTTACATATTTGTCATAGATACGTTTGTCAATGATTATGTAAAGAAACAGAAAAATAGTTTTCTATTTCTGACTAGTATCAGTTCTTATAAGATAGGGATGGAAAAAAATAAGTACCAAAGAGGATTTTTCTTGTTTAAATAATTTACACGATGTTTTTACAAGACAACAAGCAGAGACTACAACTAAAACAGGTATTTTAAAATATATTTTAAACACCCACTGGGTTTGGCCACATGTAGCCATTTCTTCCTCCAGTAAATCTCTTTTTTCCCACTTTCTAATTCAGGTAATTAACAAAGCCTTTGGCAAGATCGGCTCTCAAAGAGCCTCTAGGGGTGCTGAAGCTATGGCACGCGTGCCACAGACTTGAGGACACCAAAAGGTTTGCCATCACGGAAAGCATAGCCACAGGTCCTGGACTCAACCCCTGTACACAAAAACAAAAAACACAACCCTCACAACTTCCAGTTGTGACTCCTTGAAGTATACGACAAGTTTTCTGTTTTCGATGTGTGGGCATATAAAAGAGTCTGAGCATCAAGGCATGGGCGTATTTGTATTTTTATGAGCGAATGTCACTGTGTAATAAATAAGAATTAAGATTCTTGTCTCGATGTAACCCGCGAACGTGAAAAGCCGGAGCAGGGACCGCCAGGGCCCAGGCGGCAGGTGTGCCCGGGCGGGTCACTGGGCCGGGGGTCGCCGTGGTGCCCGCACTAGCGGGGACCGATGGGAGCCACCGCGGGCGCCAGCAGCCCCGAGCGCGGGGACGGGCCCTGCCGCCCGGCCGTGGGCAGTCCCAGAGTGTGGCAGACGCTCTTAAGGGAGGGCGAGGGGGGCGCCCCGGGCGGCCCGAGAGGGCGTGGGGCCCGCAGGCCGGGACGGAGACCCTCGAGGCGCCACGTCACGGAACCTTCCCTGCCCTCGCGGGAGCCGGCGAGGAGGCCGCGCCCCAGGGCGGGGACAGGGGCAGGACCAAGTCGCTCGCGGACTGCCGGGCCCCAGCCACGGGTGGCACAGCTCGGTACCCCAGCCCCCGGGCCCTCCTCTGGAAACCCAGGCTGCCCCGCGCACAATCCCGGGGAAGCCTCGGCCCGCCCCGGAGCTTCACTCACCTGCGGCTTCAGACCCGGCCTGAACACCTGCGGCGCCTCACGCTGAAAAACCGGAACCTCCGCGACAGCCTGCGCGAACATACCCGGACCCCCCGGGGTCGTAACCACTTCCGGTCCGCCGGCGGCGGCGGGGGAGGACGAGCCCCCAGCCGCGGTGTACGTGCGGGAGGCGCCATCTTGTACGGAAGTTGTTGGGGCAGTTGGTGCCTCCCCAGTTTTGCCACTGTTGAACAAAGAATCTGTTAAAATTGGAAGGTTGAACATCTCTTCAGAAAAATGGTGTTTTTGTTTCTGTGATGGCATTTTTGCTTTTCCCTTTGGTTTTGAAGGGAGATGCTTTTAAAACCCTCCCAAATACAGTGCAAGACCTCTAATTTTCATCCTTAAGTACTTTGGGTAGTATTTCTCTACTGCGTTCATTTTCTTAATTAAATGGTAACAGCAAATAAAATGAAAGACAGTGTATTTAGATCACATATTCTTCATTAGCAGTGCATATCATCCTATACCCTTTAATAATTTATGCCATCTTTTGTAACAATAATAGCTTCTGTTCATAGATTAAATCATTCAATCTTTTTTCTTTTTCTTTTTTTTCTTTTGGTAGAACCGGGGATTGAACTCAGGCCCTTGCGCTTGCCAGGAAAGCATTTATTCTACTGAGCCATCTCCCCAGCCCCAGCAACTGCTATTTGTGAGGTAGCTATTGTGTGCTTCATACTGTTCTTTTGTCATGGAATGTGTACACGTGAGATGTGCATAAACAATATAAGGGCCAGGCATGGTGGCACTTGTCTGTAATCTCAGCATTTAGGAGGATGAGGCAGAACTACCCTGAGTTCCAGGCCAGCTTGACTCTGTCCCAAAAACAAAACCAATAATCAATATAAGGTATATGTGCTCCCTAAAAATGTTAGGAATTTTTATTTTCTTTTTATTTGTTTGATTTTTTTAAAAATTCATTTGAAATGGGGGTCTCATATTACCACATGGGCCTTCAATTTGTGATCCTTCTTCCTCAGCCTCTCCAGTAACTGGGATTACAGTTTACACACCTATGCTTGGCTTTCAGTGTGCTCGAAAATTTGTAAAGCATTTTAATTATTTAATGGCAATTAATCCCAAAACAGCTCCATGAAGTTGTACCAGTACTAGTACTACTGTATGTGAAAATAAAAAACAAAAAGGTGGGGAAGTGAAATAACTTTCTCAAGGTACCTCAGCAAGTAAACACTGCCATTAAGAATGAAACCTCAGGGGCTGGTGAGATGGCTCAGTGGTCTAAAGCACCTACTTAGAACAAGCTAAGCTAAGCAAAACACAGGGACCGCAGTTCAATCCCCAGCACCACATGCCAGCCAGGCCTGCCCCCTGGTGAGCTGAGCTGGCCACACACACACTAAATAAACAAATAAATAAATAAATATTAAAAAAAAAAAAAAGAATGAAACCTCAGTATGGCACACATTAGCTGCCTCGCATGCAACTGCAAAGCTTGCTGCCCTCATCCTCTCAGTTACATTGCTTTGAATGCAGAGAAGAAAGTTCTAAATTCCATTAGATAGTCAGATAGGGTAACAGGGGATTAACTTCCTGTATTTCTATCTGTTCCTTCTTGAAATACAGTAGCTAAAACACAAACTCTAAGGAGGAAATACAAGCTAAGACCACAGGAGGATAGCATTAGATACTTACCAGAGTGGCTAACAAGGAAAAGACAGAAAAATCCCCAGCACTGGCAAGATGGAGGAGCAACCAGGATGTTCGTAGGCTCACGAAGGGAACATGAATCTCAGCTGACACAATCACTTAAACTGTTTGCTCTATCAACTAGGGCTAAATATATGAATAGCCTTTTTTTTTTTAATTTTATTTATTTATGTGTGTGTGTGTGTGTGTGTGTGTGGCCAGCTCAGCCCACCAGGGGGCGGGGGCTGGCTGGCATGTGGTGCTGGGGAATTGAACCATGGTCCCTGTGCTTTGCCAAGCTTGTTCCAAGTAGGTGCTTTAGACCACTGAGCCATCTCACCAGCCCCATGAACAGCCTTTGTTCAAGCAACTGTACTCCTAGTTTTATGTCTACCTGAAATATGTCTACATATGTTCAAGAGGACACGTCCAAAAAAAGCTCACGTCCACATTCTGTAATAGCCTCGAGCTGAAATTACCCCATATCTGTGCTGTTAGAAGCCAAGGTGGTCAGTTTGGAGGAGTAATAACCAAAAGGAAGCATGAGGAAACGCGCGCTACTGACTGTATCCTGTTTATTGCTTGTTTTTGGTGTTTTGTGTTTGAGATAGGATATCGCTGTGTAACCCAGGCTGGCCATGAATTCAAAGCGATCCTCCTGTGTCAGCCTCCGGAGTGCTGGGATTACAGGCGTGCACCACCAGGCCTGGCATGTATCCTGTTTAATCCATGCTGACTGGCACATGTGTTCTCATTACAAACTTGTTGGCCTCTTCTGGATGCATATTTGCCTCAATCAAAAGTTTGTGGGCAGGTTATTTATTTTTGAGACCAGGCATGGTGCTGCACACCTGTAATCCCAGCACTGGGGAGGCTGAAAACAGGAGGATCACTAATGAGTCTGAGCTGTGTAGTGAGACCCTGTACCAAATATGTACTTTTGTATTTATTTTTGTGGTATTGGGGATTGAACCCAGGGCCTTCATAATGAACTAAATCTCCAACCCTTTTCTAACTTTTTTTTTCTTTTTTCTTTTTGAGACAGGGTTTTGTTCTGCAGTTCAAGCTGTCCTTGAGCTCACTTTCTAGCCCAGGCTGGTCTCAGACTTGCAACAGTCCTCCTGCCTCAGCCTCCTGAGTGCTGGAATTACAAGCATGTGCCACCACATCCAGCTCTTTTCTGACTTTTTGTTTCATTTTGATTTTGAGACAGGGTCTCCGTAAGTCACTAATTTCCCCCATGTGCTCAAATTTTGTAATTCTCCTGCCTCAGCCTCCTAGAGTGCCACTATGCCACTATGCCTAGTCAGAAGTTTTTAAAATAGAAGCTGAGAGCAGTGGTACAGCTAAGCTAAAGGCTGAAGTGTGGGGATCACTTGAGCCCAGGAGTTGGGGACCAGCCTGGGTGCCATAGCAAGACATTGTCTTGGAAGAAAGGCTGGGCATCATGCCAAATGCCTGTAATGCCTGCATTATTAGAAGCTGAGGCAAATTCCAGTCTAGGCTGGGCAATTTGCATCTGTATTGTCACAAAATAAAAAATAAAACAGCTAAGGATTTCACTCAATAGAAAGGCCCAGATTTAATCCCCAGTAAAAAAAAAAAAGAAAGAAAGAAAGAAAGAAAGAAAGAAGAATGAAATGAGAATAAAAGTGAAAAATTTGGCCAGCTAGGTAGCTCAGTGGTCTAAAGTAAGTGCCTGCTTAGGCAAGCTTAGGCAAGCACGCAGGGGCTGTGGTGCTATCCCGAGCACCACATGCCACACCAAACCCAGCCCAGGGTGGGCTGAACCGGCCACAAAAAAAAAGTGAAAAATTTACAAACCCAAAGAAAGGGTAATGAAAAGTCATAATAACAGAACAAACTGTCAATAAGATAATAGAAGATAGAACTTGGATTAGAATCTCCCCACGTACTAAACTAAAAATGGATCAAAGATCTCAGTGTTAAAACAGACATAATCTGCTGGAAGATAAAAGAGGTACAACTCTTGAGGCATAGGCAAGGACTTTCTGAACAGAATCCCAGGGGCACAAGAAAAATACAAGGAATTAACAAATAGGACTACATCAAATTAAAATTTCAGCACAACAAAGGAAACAACACAATGAAGAGACAGCCTAGAGAATGAGGTAAAGGTAAGGAATCGGAGGCTAGGGATCAGAGGTAGAGTTGTCAAAGCTCCATACTTCTGGGAGGAAGATGGTATCTTCAGCAGTGATGCTCAGGAAAGAAGTGTTGAATGTTTGAGGAGCTAAGTCCCCTGCTATGGAGTGTGTGCTATGTTACCAGATCTTCTGTCTGCCATAAAAGTTTCAAAAAAGTTTATTATTATTATTATTATTATTATTATTAAAAGAAAATAATAAGGGCTAGGGAGATAGCTCAGTGGCATAAGCACCAGCCTAGCAAGTACAATATCCTGAGTTTGATCCCTGGTACTGCAAAATAATAATAATAATAATAATAATAATAAATAAAATAATAGTAATAAGAAATAAAACAATTTCAAAAATGTACCTGTCATCCCTGTAATACTTTTGCTCCAGTAGATTCTTTGGAGGACTCTAAATGGATATTGAATTCCACATCCAGGTTTGCAAGAGAGAAAGACAAAAGTTATTTATGGGAATACTGGCACTGGAGGGTAGAGGGGGATGAGCTGACACCTAGGTAACTGAAGAAAGGGGCTGAAAGAGACTTCCAGTTGCAGCTGGTGGACTGAACCACTCACAACCGCACTTCCTTCCGAAATCCCTCTAAAACAATGGTAAAAGCACATTAAAATATAGAGTTTCAAGGTCAAAAATATACAGAAAAACAATTTGAGAACAAAGACTATTTATTCAGGTGCAGCATAGCAAGAGGTCAGCTACCATACTTCTACTAGGCAGGCTTGAAGGTGGGCAAGGGGGTGGGAACACTTTATAGTGGAAAAAAGGAAGGGTCCACGTATACCGTGGCTGATGATCATTATCTGCGGAGGGCTGGAGCTGGGCTAACAAGATGCTAGGCTTCTTACACAACTATTAAGTACGATAAGTGCCAATATTACAGTCGGTCCCTCTGATTGATTGTGAGTGGGCAGTGGAGCCAAGATACGGGGAAGCAGATTCATTGGTCAAGCCCGGACCTGCTAGCCGACAGCTACAGAGCTTGTGGGTCAGAGTTCTATGGTCATATACAGTCCAGGTATTTTCTGCTTAATACTTCATCCCTCAAAGAACAGAACATTTTGAAAGCTGGGAAGCAGAACCACACCGGAAACACACTGAGCAAACTTGTTACGGATCAAAGGCACAGCCAATGGGCAGGCCTGATCTGCCTGGCGACCACCGACAGCTTCGTACCTGGCAGCAGCAGACAGCTCAGAAGCAGAGGGCCTAAGGGTGTGACTGAAACCCGGATAACTGATTCTGTCAGAACAAGTTACAACAACTTTCGGTATACATTTTTTTGACTTCTACATGTGATTTGTAAATCAGGGCAGCCTCTTTCTACAGAATAATATGAGAAGTCCAACTGGGCCATGGCAGAACAGCAGATTTGGTAGGGTGAGAACAAAAACCAGAAAAATAGAAAGAACCTGATTGATTAACATCAGATTGCTTTATCATGAGCGCTACAATAGAGGGGATTTTCTTATTATACTGCTTCAGATAGATTGCTATCTCTGGTTCTTAGGAGAACGGATCTATTTTGGGAATCCATCTACACCCTCAAAATTTCAGTGTGCTTATGTGGGACATAGCACAAGTGACACTAT